CTTACTCAACTTCATTGTATTCCTTGCGTGATGTAATGTTTGATTACAAATTACTATTTTCCAGTGAAAATATGGTTCTTCTCATGTTTTAAATCGGAAAAAAACGTTTATAGAATAGGGCGTTGGTCTAATAGGGTACATACAATGTTGCAAGACAAGTAAAATAGATGGAGTTCGGTCGGGTCGAATTTATTGTACCTTGCACAATATAAATAAAATTAGATTCGGTTGGTTTCTTTATCCACATTTGGTCCTTCGAGCCGCATAAACTTGAAACTAAACCTGAACTGAGCGGATGGTATCTTTTCTCAGCATTTGGTCATTCGATTGTTCACATTTATGAAAGTGGAAAGAACCGGAGGCGGGACGTATATAAATGCATTAAAATGACAGAAAAATGAATGGGAAGCAAAAATACCAAGTCACGGAAACAAAGAGAATCAAATAATGAAGGACTTATTTGAAGACGAACCACTAAAGAAAAAAAAAGGAAGACAAAGAAAAATGTAAAATCTGACAACTAAATATCAAGCCGTGGTGGATTATACGAACTTCAATGTGAGTACGCCGCCGCTAGTCTCCAAAAAATAGAAGAGCATTTTGGTGAAAATAAAGTGCAGTTGGCACTATATACAGGGTTGCCCATATTCGACGGACCCATCTGGCAACGCCATAACTTTTGACAGAGATGTCACATCGCTTAACGACATACCGCGTTTGAAGCGTCAGTCCAAGCAGATTTTTACCATGAACCAATACACGCCACGCGAGCGCTCTGAAATAGTTGAAATTTACATTCAACAGAAGAAGTCAATTGTGAAAACTCGACGTGCGTTTAAAACATTAAAAATGTGAGAAGTGCGCCTTCTATGAACACCATTAAGCGTTTATACGAAAAATTTTCGACTGGTAAGGCTCTTTCTAATCCGAAGAGGCCATATAAAAGTCGACCAAGGCGATCGGCCGAGAATATCGCTGCCGTACGAGCCAGTGTTGAGAGGTCCCCAAGAACATCCCAAAAACGCCGTTCTCAGCAGTTGGGCATGGCTCGGTCCACTTTACAACGGATTATTCGCATTGATTTGCATTTGTTCCCGTACAAAATTCAATTGACGCACAGAATGTTGTCTGCGGACAAGCCTCGTCGATTGGAATGGGCCCAAAAGGCCCATAGGTCCGTCGAATATAGGCAATCCTGTAAAGGTTTATTTATTATAGAGGCGGGAATATTAAATGCCATTATAAAGCGAGAAGGTTTAAAATCAAGTTCTTTTTTGCAGAAAAGGTTCAAAAGTTTGTAATACCAAATGTGGAAGCTGATGATTATGCTCAGAAAAATAATAAAAGAACGTGTAATAAACAAAATTGCAGAATATCTCTCCGAGCTAATGAAATTCGATGTTTTAAACGTGCTGAGTAGAATTATGAAAAATAATAGCATATTTCTCTAGGGCGAACTTCGACGGTTTCAATAGAAATTACAAGCAGCTCTTTTCCAAAAATCGGAGGTCATTACTTTGGAAAACGCCAAAGAGGTGAAATTTAAGAAAACAGGACATATGTTCCTTCTTAATACCAATAAAAAAGTAAAAAAGCTGTTGGTTCCGCCAGGCCGAACTTTACATACCCTCCACCATTTGGTTCAAATTTGGCAATTTCCAAAAAAAAAAAAAAATAAAATAAAATCCGTTAAAAATTCTATTAAAATCTTAAAAATACCGAATGCCTATACGACGACGTGAACCTGCATAGGCAACTTTTGTCATAAGCCATTACAATATTCAAATGCGAAACTTAGAAAAAATCGATGAATAATGTCGCTAAAATCATCAAAATACCGATTATCGGGAGGTACCATTATATTGGGGCTATACGAAGACGTAGACCTGCACTGACAATTTTCTAGCATAGGCTGTAGTATCCACTACGAACTTCAAATACCAAATTTGGAATAGTTCCGGTAAATAATGTATCTAAAATCATCAAAATACCGAATATCAGGGGGTATCGTTATAGGGGGGCTATACGAAGACGTAGACCTGCACTGACAATTTTCTAGCATAGGCTGTAGTATCCACTACGAACTTCAAATACCAAATTTGGAATAGTTCCGGTAAATAATGTATCTAAAATCATCAAAATACCGAATATCAGGGGGTAACGTTATAGGGGGGCTATACGAAGACGTGGACCTGTTCGAACAATTTTCTCTCATAGGCTGTAGTATTCATTACGAACTTCAAATACCAAATTTGAAGTAGTTCCGGTAAATAATGTCTCTAAAATCAACAAAGTACCGAATATCGGGAGGTACAGATATATGGGGGCTATACGAAGACGTGGACCTGTTCCAACAATTTTCTCTCATAGGCTGTAGTATCCATCTCGAACTTCAAATTCAAAGTTTGAAACAATTCCGGTAAATAATGTCTCTAAAATCATCAAATTACCGAATATCGGGAGGTACCGTTATATGGGGGCTATAACAAAACGTGGACCTACATGGCCCATTTTCAATACCAAAAGTCCTGCAGTCGAGAAAAATTTTATCAATCTACTTCAAGCTAGAGCTACTCGGAAGCTAGAGTGATTTCCACAGACGGATAGACGGACGGACAGACTGCTGTCATTTCTGAGCCACTCGTCTGCTAAAATTATTCCAGTGACAGCTCATTATATTGTTTACAAGTGTACAAAACCATTTAGGTGAGAATTTTCCAGAAAATAAGTTATTCGTGATGGAATTCAAGCGTGATTTCTTTATGTTTGGCTGGAAAACCACAAGTGGCTATCGTTAGAGCACTCCAGCATTTAAATGTGAATATATCTTTTGTGTCTCGTACAATCGCTCATTACCATGATACTGGTAGCGTAGTCCGACGTCAAGTGGATGGAAGAAAACAGCAACATCAGCAGAAATGATTCGAAAAGTAAAGAAGCGACTTGATCGAAACCCGCGTCGCAGTGGCCGAAAAATGGCTCGTGAGCTGAACATATCACAATATTCAATTCGGCAAATATTGAAAAATGAGCTCGGGGTAAAGCCATTGAAATTTCAAAAAGTGCAAAAACTTACACGGCAACAAGAAGAAAATAAACTCAAAAGAGCTAAAGAGTTGCTTCGCTTGGCCGAAAGTGGTGAACTGCCGAATTTGGTTTTCTCCGATGAGAAAACATTCCTTGTCCAGCAGTTTGTAAACAAACGAAATTATCGTGTTTACTTGCCAAAGAGGTCAGCTGGAAATATGCACCTTCGGTTGGCCACCAGAACTCAAGCGTCGGCCATGGTGATGATGTGGGCCGCTATAACAGCCGATGGTCGCTCTCCGCTCGTATTAATCGTCCGTGGCATCAGAATAAATGTCGAATATTATCGCGAAAATATTCTGGAGGCCTTGGGCACGCAAACATTTTGGACGCAGACTTTGGAAATTCCAACAGAAGCCAGCACCATCGCACTCAGCACCTGCCTCTCAAAATTGGTTACAACATGAGGTTCCTCGCTTCATTTCCAGCGCACAATGGCCACCAAAATCTCCGATTGCCAATCCATTGGACTATTGTGTCTGTAGTATTTTGGAAAGCAAGGTTGGCACTAAAAAATACCAAAGTGTCGAGCACCTCAGGCAAGCACTTCGCCGGGAATGGGCCAAAATACCGCAGAGCAACATTCGAGCAGCCTGTGGCGCGTTCATTGGCCGTTGGAAGACCATAATTTGTGTCAAAGGTGACCAATTCGAGCAAATCTAAACTTATTCTAAAATTTGATGCTATTTCCGAGATTTTTAAATTTAACAAGTAAAAAACATTAAGTTCGGCCGGGCCAAACTTTTAATACCCTCCACCTTAGGGTAAAAGAAACATTAGAAGAAATGTGGCAAAAACCATTAAATTACCGAATATCGGGAGGTACCGCTATATGGGGGCTATACCAAAACGTGGACCTATAATTACAATGTTTCGCTACACGCTCAGGGACCCGTTATGACATACAAATACCAATTTCCACACAAATCCGTGAAAAAATGTGGCATAAATCATCAAAATACCGAATATCGGGAGGTACCGTTATATGGGGACTATACCAGAACGTGGACCGATATATCTCATTTTCAATACCAACCATCCTAGACACAATGCAAATAGCTCTGCTAAATTTTGGCGCTCTACGTCAAATAATATGGGCTGTATCGTGATTTCAACAGACAGACAGACAGACAGACGGACATCGTTAAATCGACTTAGAATTTTATGCTGATTATGAATATATATACTTTATGGGGTCTAAGACGAATATTTAAGGATGTTACAAACGGAATGACAAAGTTAATATACCCTCCTTTCCAAGGTGGAGAGTATAAAAACTAGGGCGTTTGACTTTTTTATCTCACCCTGTTATATAGGAGCTATATCCAAATCTTGACAACATTTTAAACAATTATTTCTGAGCTGTATCTGGTATCTGGTACCAGAGATTGTGGTATGTATGTTACGCATGCAAGGGACTCAAAAATCCCAAATCGGATGAAACATATACATGGCTATATATATATATATACCTATATATGAACCGATTTTAAACAAATTTGAAGTACTTGTTTCCAGGATCAATTCAGTCGGAATTACCGAGATTCAGTTCATTTGGGCTGATATTAGCCATTTGGAGCACAATAAATCTGATATCGGATAAAGATATGTATGGGAGCTATATCCAAATCTGATCCGATCTCGATGTGGTCTAGGTTATAAAAATCTCCTGGGCCCATTGTTTTGACATATTTTTCAACGAAATTCTCTTAAATTTGGCATATTGAGATCGCAATACGATTTTCACACATTTGCAGGTACAGCTATGCATTACAAACCCTCGAATCAAACTAATTGTCAAATAAACTCCTCCCGAAAAGGAGTAGGGTATGGAAATTTAGTTATCTACATGTTTTCTAACAAAAACACATGTCAAATGTTCGCTATTAACAGACCCTGTTCATATAAAAATGAAAATATTAGAGAAAACTATTTGACATTTGTTTAGATACGTTGGTCGCCGATCTTTATAGCTTATAATGGAACTCGGTAAGATTATTTTAGAAACTAGAATAAAAAATAATATATTTTCATTTTCATGCAGGATATAATATATTTTCAGTGTTACTTCTATTATTTGCCATTAACCTGAGCAATGCCAGAGATTGTGGAATAAATCCCATAGATTCATTTCACATAGAAATCCCCACAACGACATCAACAATTTCAACAACAACAACAACAACAACGACAACAGTATCCTCTACCACATCGACGACCACCGAATCCACCACTACAACCTCAACATCATCGGTTTCCGTTGAAACAACGACAAGTGGAATGCATAGCTGTGACACCACAACAACTTCTTTATGTATCGCTACGACGACAACAACCACATGGGAATGTGATTCGAATACCAATTCTCCGCCTTCAAGCTTTGCGGTTCGTGTATTTTGGACCCATCAAGATTGTGTCAATTTGAAAGATGACACGTTTTTGGTGGATCCCAGACACTGTCGCCGTTATTACATTTGTCACAATGGCCGGCCTAAACGCCAACACTGTCCTCTGACCCAGTGGTTCGATCGTCAGACGTTAAGTTGTCGTGCCAGAAATTTAGTAACAAATTGTCCAATAAATAGATCGTAAAGGCTGAACGTGGGAGCTATGAAGCAAAGAATTATTTGAAAATAGAGAACAATTGTAAAGGTATTCGTCGTAAGTGCGGCAACTGCCAGGAATGAGTTCAAGTGACATGGGTAAAAACGTATCTTTAATGAAAGTGTATTTCATGAATATGCATAAATTTCAGGACAAGTAATTTTTTCAATAAAACAAGTTAGAAAGTATCTGTTCGTTTATCGTCATATGCCATCCAAAGTTAAGTTTGACCTTAGCTTTCCTTTATTGGCATGTGCAAAGTTTGAACTAATATCAAGTTTACATTAGATCGTTTTGTTGAGGAAAACCTCCTTTACGAGGATTTATTTGACAAATATGCAATGGAATGTTTTCTTTGATCAGATAGGTTACTAGAAGGCTGGAAGCAATACATTTTATCTTCACCTAGAATATAATTGCATGTGAGAAGTTTTTAGAAGATCGGGCAACAATCTCACGTTTTATGGGTTTTGTACTGTTGAATTTTTTTTAAAAAATTTAAGGCACAAAAAGGAGCAAGTAAGATATTGTCCACTGTTGAAGCGGACTTAAGCGCCATGCAAATACTATTATACTCGAATTTCCTGTTTAATTGGGAATTTGGGAGACCTGCTTCGAATCACCACAACTCCGTTGTGTATCGTGTAATTTCATAAACAGATCATGATTTTTACTACTCTAAATTCTCTTAAGCATAACCGAATCAGAATAACTCAGCATGAAAACAATCACCAAATGAATAGAGAGTATAAGAATAATACTGAGTATAGAGAACGGCAGAGAGGATTAAAAATGGCCAACCAAATTTGAAACGATTCCGGTGAATAATGTCTCTAAAATCATCAAAATACCGAATATCGGGAGGTACCATTACCAAAAGTCCTGCAGACATAATATACATTTGAGTAAAATTTTATCAATCTACTTCGATACGTTCGGAAGCTAGAGTAATTTCCACAGACGGATAGACGGACGGTCATTGTTAAATCGACATAGAATTTTATGCTGATCAAGAATATATGTACTTTATGGGGTCTATAATGTATATTTCGAAAATTTATATACTATGGTGGAGGGTATAAAAATATAGAACAATTGTAGAGGGATTCGTCATAAGGGCTGCAATTGCCAAAAGGGAGTTCAAATGACAAGTTAAAAATTTATTTTTTACGGGGAGAATATTTTTTACAAATAACTGCAACAAAGTCAAACGCCATAATTGTTTTTAAATTTTATTGAATGAAATCAAACAAGTAAAAAAGCAGTAAGTTCGGCCGGGCCGAACTTTGAATACCCTCCACCATTTGGAACGAATTAGAAAATATTAAAAAAAAAAACCATTGAAAATTCTGTAAAAATCTTTAAAATACCTAATATCGGAAGGTGCCGATATATGGGGGGATATACGCTACTGTGGACCTATATAGACAAATCTATGTCTGGGGGGTAAAGTACTCACAAGGAACTCCTTGTGTGGATTTTCAGATAATTCCATTGGGAAATGTGGCTAAAATCATCAACATCCCGAATATCGGGGGTACCGTTATATGGGGGATATATGATATTGTGGACAAATATCTTTCAGGGGTTACAGTGCTCACAAAGAAATCCTTGTGTGGATTTTCAGAGAATACCATTGGAATATATAGCTAAAATCATCAAAATACCGAATAACGGGGGTACCGTTATATGGGGGCTATACGATATCGTTAACCTATGTAGAAAACTCTATGTCAGGGGGTAAAGTGCTCACAAAGAACCCCTTGTGTGGAATTTCAGACAATTCCGTTGAAAAATGTGGCTGAAATCATCAAACTACCGAATATCAGAGGGAATATACGATATTGTGGACCTATATAGACAATTCCGTTTCAGGGGTAAAGTGCTCACAAAGAACTCCGTGTGTGGATTTTCAGACAATACGATTGGAAAATGTGGCTAAAATTATCAAAATACCCTAATATCGCGGGATACCGTTATATGGGGGCTATACGTTATCGTTAACCTATATAGAGAATTTTCCGTCGGGGGGTAAAGTGCTCACAAAGAACTACTTGTGTACAAAGAACCCCTTGTGACCATTCCGTTGAAAAATGTGGATAAAATCATCCAAATACCAAATATCTGGGGTACCGTTATATGGGGGCTATACGATATCGTGGGCCTATATAGATAATTCTCTGCCGAGGTATAAAGTACCCACAAGGAACTCCTTGTATGGATTTTCAGACAATTCCGTTGAAAAATGTGGGTAAAATCATCAAAATACCGAATATCGGGGGGTATCGTTATATGGGGGCTATACGATATCGTGGACCGATATAGCCCATCTTCGAACTTGACCTGCCTGCAGACAAAAGAGAGATCTGTACAAAATTTTAGCTTCGTATCTTAATTGGTTTAGACTGTAGCGTGATTACAACAGACGGACAGACGGACGGACTTGGCTAAATCGTCTTAGAATTTTACGCTGATCAAGAATATACATATTCTTTGTTGGGTCTAAAATGATTATTTCGATGAGTTACAAACGGAATGACGAACTTAATATACCCTCCATACTTTTTTTGGTGGAGGGTATAAAAAGTAGGAAAAAACATCAAAATTTAGAATAAGTTTAGATTTGTTCCAATTGGTCACCTTTGGCACGAATTATGGCCTTCAAACGGCCAATGAAACCGTCACACGCTGCTAGAATGTTGCACTGCGGTATTTTGGCCCATTCCCGACGAAGCGCTTGCTTGAGGTGATCGACACTTTGGTATTTTTATAGTGCCAACCTTGCTTTCTAAAATACTCCAGACACAATAGATTAGTATCCGCGGATTGTGGTGGCCATTGTGCGCTGGAAATGAAGCGATGAACCTCATTTTGTATCCATTTTTGAGCGGCGCGTGCTGGGTGGTGATGAGTCCTGTTGGAATGTCGAAGTTCTGCGGCCAAAATGTTTGCGTGCCCAAGGCTTAAATACACCCTCCAGAATATTTTCGCGATAATATTCGACATTTATTCTGATGCCACGGTCGATTAATACGAGCGGAGAGCGTCTTGCAATTTTTGGAATTTGAATGGCTTTACCCCGAGCTCATTTTTCAATACTTGCTGAATGGAATATTGCGATATGTTCAGCCATTTTTCGGCCACTGTGACGCGGTTTTCGATCAAGTTACTTCCTTACTTTTCGAACCATTTTCTTCCTTCTACTTCCTTGACGTCGGGCTACGCTACCAATATCACGGTAACGAGCGATGGTATGAGACACAAAAGATTTATTTACATTTAAATGCTTGAGTGCTCTAACGATAGCCGACTATCACTCTTGAATTCTATCACGAATAACCTGGAAAATTCTAAGCGAAATGCTTTTGTACGCTTGTAAACAATATAATGAGCTGTCACTGGAATAATTTTAATAGCTGTCGGACGAGTGGCTTAGAAATGACAGCAGTCTGAAGTAGGTTGAAGTTTTTTTCACCTCATCCTGTATATGTGGTATTAAGATAGTATAGTAAACATATTATATAATAAACATAGAAAAACAGTCTTATGCTAAGTATCGATATAAGGAACTAATGTTAGCCGCAATGTATTGAATAATTGTTTAATGAATTGATGAACATATACTTGAATCGCCAATCTTCCACGGAATCCACACACCGAGGGACAACATTTTAAATTTAGAATTTTGTTAAGTTTATCGCAAATAGTGAAATAAAGAATTTTTATACCCTACACCACAAGGGGGTCAGGGTATTATGACTTTGTGCATTATAAGCATGCCAAATTTAATGGAAATCGGTTCAGATATAGCTATAGCTCCCATATATATTGTTCACCCGATTTGTTATTTTTGTCCTCCGCAGCCGTAATATGCACTCTGTAAACAACAATATTTGGGGAAATATATCAAATGCAGCTCAGAAATACCTTTGCTAAATTTTATCGAGATCGGTTCAGATTTGGATATAGCTCCCATATATAACTTCGTCCGATTTACCTTTTATTGTGCACCAAACGTCTAATATTTGCCCAAATGGGATGGAATTTGGCACGTACGACCGAATTGAGTCTAGAAGGTAGTAAGTAAAATTTGGTGAAGATCGGTTCAGATATAGCTATAGCTCCCATATATATATTGTTCATCCGATTTGTTATATTTGTTACCCACAACCGTAATATGCACTCCGTAACAACGATATGGAGGGACATATATCAAATACAGCTCAGGAATATCTTTGCCAAATTTTATCGAGATCGGTTCAGATTTGGATATAGCTCCCATATATATCTTTATCCGATTTCAAATTAATTGTGCACCAAATGGGCAATACAATTCCGAATTTAAAAGATACAAATGCTTCGGCATATTTAGTCCTTTGAACTTTAAATTATAATTCTAATCATAGAGTGTATGATTAAATTCTTCCATAAAAACTTTTAATTGTTATGTGGAGCTCTACTTAATTAGCAAAGTGGTGTAGGGTATCATAAAGTCGGCCCGCCCGACTTAAAGACTTTCTTTACTGTTTTTTTTTTTTCCAAAAGTCGATATATGAAAATACCAGATAATTTCTTCGTTCTATTCAAAAAATGACTTATCCTGAAATTTACGCATATTCATGAATGTGGGCAATACAGGGTGAGATGAAAAAACTGCAACCAACTTCAGACTGCTGTAATTTGAAAGCCACTCGTCCGACAGCTGTTAAAATTATTCCAGTGACAGCTCGTTATATCGTTTACAAGCGTTCAAAAGCATTTTGGTGAGAATTTTCCAGAAAAAAGTTCTTCGTGATGGAATTCAAGCGTGATAGCGTGATTTCTTTATATTTGGCTGGAAAACCACAAGTGGCCATTAAAATTCCAAAACGTGCAAGAACTTACACCACAAAAGAAAGAAAATAGACTCAAAAGAGCTATATATATATTATATATATATATATATATATATATATATATATATATATATATATATATATATATATATATATATATATATATATATATATATATATATATATATATATATATATATGTGTGGGAGCTATTACTATGCCTGAACCGAATTCGATGTACTTGCCTCTAAACTGAATTCGGTAGGATGTACCAAAGTTCAGGACTTTTGGGCTGATATTGACATTTGGTGCACAATTAGTCCGAAATCGAATGAAGATAAATCTTGATAAAATTTGGCAGAGGTATTTCTGGGCAATACATGATATCTGGTACAAAATAGCATTCTTGTGGAGTGCATATTACGAATGTGAGGGACTTTAACACCAAATCTGTTGAAAGCTATATGTGGGAGCTATAGCTATATTTGAACCGATTTTTTGATGTATTTGCTTCTAGACTGAATTCCGTCAGATGTGCCAAAATTCAGGTTATTTGGACCGATATTGGCCATTTGGTGCACAAGTAACACGAAATCGGTTGAGATAGGTATGAAAGCTATCCCAAATTTGAATCGATCTTGATACAATTTTGCAAAGGTATTTTTGGGCTGTATCTGATATTCTTAACCAAACATCATTCTTGTGGGTTAATATTACGACCGCCGATGTAAAATTTGGCAGAGGTATTTCAGGGCAATATCTGATATCTGGTAGTGTATATTACGAACGAGAAATCGGTTGAAACCTAAATGTGGGAGCTATAGCTATATTTGAATTGATTTTTTGATATACTTGCTTCTGACTGAATTCCGTCATATGTGCCAAAATTCAGGTTATTTGGACCGATATTGAATTGAATTGAATTCGTTTGGATGTGCCAAAATTCAGGTCATTTGGACTAATATTGGCCACTTGGTTCACAATTAACCCGAAATTGGTTGAAGGTATATATTGGACCTATATCTAAATCTGAACCGATCTTGATCAAATTTGGCAGAGGTATACCTGGGCTATATTAGATATCTGATACTAAATATCATTCTTGTGTAGTTGAAATTTACACCGATTCTCACCAATTTCAATATGATTCATCCTTGGGCCAAACAATTTCAATTTCATCTCAACCGAATAATAAAGATGACCTGCATTTTGTTCACAAAAGTACATGGACAGACGGACGGACGAATTGACTCAGAAAGTGATTCCATGTAGATCCTCAAAAATAACTATGGGACTATCTCGCTTTCTTCTCCATGTTAATGCATAAGGGCATAATGCTCTTAGCACTATGTAGTGTAGGGTATAAATAGGCTTAATTAAAATTAATATAAGTATAAAATTGTCTCCTCTCCCCTACATTTCTCAAATTTTTAGTATTAACTAAACAATATGTGTATATTTTTGGTTCAAATTATGTATTTTATTGCATTAGTTAAAATTGGATATGTTTCTAATATTTGTAACCTGCACTGTAATTTACAAGATATTAATCTTGTGGTGCAGAAAGGAAAATAAATAAATAAAAGTTATCATTTATGTAAATATTTTTTTATAACATAGACATCTGTAATAAATATATAATACTTACCAACCCATATTAATTTACTAATTATACCCTACAACACTATGTGTTGGGGGTATTATAAGTTTGATTGGGCCAGAATTTATGTAACACCTCGAAATATTGGTTTCCCATATAGGAAAGTATATATGGATCTTCCTAGCTCGCCGAGCTGAGTCGATCTAGCTATGTATGTCCGTCCGTCCGTCCGTCCGTCTGTCCGTCTGTCCATGTTAATTTGTAATCACTCTACAGGTCGCAATTATGGCCCGATCTTCACGAAATTTAGAATGTAGGTGGGGTTAAGGTCAGAATAGAACCCTATTTCTTTTGGAGATGATCGCATAATATTTAGGAGTTGAAATGGACCAAAAACTGAAAAATTTCCTGATTTTGCAGTTGCTCTACAGGTCGCAATTATAGACCAATCGACGCGGAATTGCGCATGTAGCTAGAGTTTAGGGCGGGGAAGAAGCCTACCAATTTGGGTGGTCATCGGATAATATTTAGCGGATAAAAAATACCATATCTTTTGTGTTGAAAAATTTCAACATTTTTCATTAAACCGCGAACATTTTAAATCCCGGCGAAATCAATAGCCATGACAAGGTTACCTCTGATCTTTACATTGATGTTAACATCCATCAAATCGGATATATAGCAAAATATGTGCGATATATATGTCTATCAAAGAAGATATGCTTAAAAGATCTCTTATATGTCGAGAACGGCTGAACTGATTTCGATAGTTATCATTAATTCAGAATGGCCTCTTGGCAGGAAGGAAAAAACGTCTAAAAAAATAAAAATATCTCTCTAAAGATGAAAATATTGATTTTGTAAAATTTTCTCATATTTTTTCAATTTTGTCATATTTTTTTGGCATATTTTCATTTTGAATTAAACATTTGGTAATATTTCTACAGCTAACAAAACTAAGTAGTTAGGATATCAGGATATCATATACAGATCGCATTTATGGCCTGATCCTTATGAAATTTTGCATGGGGATAAGATGAGGGTCAGAATAGAAGCCTACACTTTTTGGAGATAATCGCGATATATATGTAGGGGTTGAAATGGACAAAAAAACTGCAAAATTGTCAGCAAGTCGTAATTATCGACCGATCGCATTTGAATGGAGGTTACCGGACATTGCAAAAGCCAAATAGTTTTGGATGGCCATCCAAAAATATTCAATCTGTGAAATAGTTTGCCAACTTTTGTAAACAAAATACGAAAATATCCATTCCAGTGTCTTTTTGGAGAATTCACAAATACAGAAAAGACGCACTTCTGACTATTTCGTTAAGGCTGATTTCGTTGAAGAATATAGTCAAATGTCTGTATCTCACATAGATGCGTTTAAGTCAAAAACCAATAATAAATGTTAATCTTTTGCCACTTCTGAGAGATTATAGGTGTTTGGGAAATATTGGTTCCAGATCTAGGAAGACCATTTACGTGCAACATCTACCAATAAATTGGAAATGAGCAAATTAGTTCAAGTTTCTATTATTCGAAAATTAGAACGAATCCTGATGGTTTTCTTTTATTATTTGTCACAATATCTTGTGGAATTCTTTCAAGTATATGGCCTATATAAACTGTATAATTTATTATAGTGTTGTAGGGTATTCAACGGTCGGCCCCGCTCGACTGTAGCCTTTGCTTACTTGTTTTAATTTTATTATTTAAAAAAATTAATTACAGTGCCACTTGCAGCAATAAAAATAGGTAAATCAAAACTTGTGATAAGTATATAATAAGCATAGAATCTAAATAATGAACATGCTGTCAATTTTTTTATAGTTGTCAATATTTTCAGCTGCAATTTGGATGCTTTTTTATCCGACATAAATAAAATCTTCAAAAGTTTTGTGCAATAAATTTTGATTAAAAAAACTGTTAAAGAAATTTTACTATTTACAGGAATTAGAAGCATTTTAAAGAAAATTTCAATTGTGGCTTCACGGTCTCATTATTAACAACAACAAAAATTCCACTTACCCTTTTTGCATTTCGGGAATTGTTAAGCATTCCCACCGAATTTTGGCCCCCTTTAAACTCAAACCATAACACAATGCGGAATTTAATGTTAATAGAATACGATCCAATTTGTGTGAGAGATTTATGTCCTGATCCAAGTATTCAATGAATGTGTGAGTTGGTGGGTGGGTGTTCGAATTCGTGTTGGTGGATGTACATACATATATGCAAATGTTGGATGCATGGATATGCATGTGTGGGTGGGTGTGTGTGTGTTTTGAAAAATACGTACCGTCTAAAGTGGAATGAAAAGAAGAAAGAGAGAATAATGAATGAATGAAGCAACTACTGGAAAATCAAGCAAGCAAACTATGCGGAAATCAAAACAAAAGGAACTAAAAACTGTACTGTGTAAACTCACCATTATAGTAGTGGTTGGAATAACCCGCCTTTCCGGCAACACGTCCAGCTGGCATTTTTCTGAATTGTTGTCTTAGATGTGGTTGCTGCTGCAATGCTGATAAATCTAACTCAAGTTAAACTTTGTCTAAGTTCAAGTTCATAAATGTTGGGTTTGGGTTAACACCTAACTTTATGGGGTTAAAATTATTTCTTCCGTTTCCTCTGTATAAGCCAAGGAATAGGGCGTTGTTTTTATTCCAGCTTGTTTATTTCGTTGACACAGTAACAAAATATCAGCTAAACTAGTTTTGGCAAATTTCAAATCTTCTTTTTTTTTTTTTTTGTTGGTCCTTAATTTCGGTATTGGAGATATGCTTCTGTTTGGGTGAAGGCTAAAGTTCCGCTCGCAAACTTTTTTTGTTTTTGGTTGGCTAACAATAATGTCTTCTTTGATTTTCGTTCTTTTCAAAAGAAACTCAGTACAAATGTTGATTAACTAAAGCCTTGTCCTGCTGGCACTTCTTCCGACACAGCAACTAATTCTGCGGGCATTAATTTAACAAAAATCATCGAATATATTAAAGACTAAGGATAGTTTTGTTGTAGCTGTTACATTTCTTGTTATCGCACAATTTACAGAATACGTTGGGCGCCATAATGGCGACAATGGTAGTGGTTGTGGTGGTGAATCTATTGTCCTTGTTGCCTTGTTAGCAAAACCCATTGATTAACATCAAACTATTTCGTCATTGAAAGAAGGATACGTTTTGAAACTTCGGCCGTTCACAATGTGTCTGCTATTGATGCCGATGATACTCTTAATGTTCCAACTTCCGTTTCCAGGCTGTGTGTCTGCCTCTCCTATATCCTGTAAAGACACCAAAAAGAACATTATAAATGGTTGGGGAAAACAAAGATGTAGTAGCACAAAACAAGCCGTAATTTATTTAATAGTTGTTTGAAAATTTGCCTTGGCTGAAAGAAGTCGCAATTTCTGCTAAAAAATGGGTAGGAAGGGGATTTATAATGCATTCTTGATATTAGCAGTCCATTAGGCAAATCCTTGGCCATTGGCAGGGGATTATGTCATAATTGAAAGATCTTAAAGGATAATGTTGGAAGAAAAAAAAAACAAGTTCATCAATGTTCATGGATTTTTTTTTTCAAAGAATTCACTAACAAGTTCGCAAGACCTTGATTAGCTCTGAACGCCATGGCTAATGGGCAGTATTATAACAATGGATTTTTCAGAAAAATAAGAAAACCCACTTAATCTGATGGATAGCAAAGTAAGTTGGTTGGAAGGTGTAAATAGTTTTATTTAAAGCAAATTTATGGGTAGGGGATTCAATTACGGGCACATTCCCTAAAAGTAGGAGTAGCGATGTGTCAAAAAGTAATGAGCTCATTGCAAATTTAATTGAGGTTAGGTATGACCGATTTTTTGAATCATTTTCTTTCCTCCGACTAACAGGATCGTTAACTGGGAATAACTTTTTGAACTGGTTCTCATTAAACTGCGTCGCCGGTAATTCATTTACACAGAGGGTCCGTTCGTCAGTAGTCTTCGGCTCTTTTTTTCCACCTCAGCTTCGTCTCGTTGTGTCACAGAAGCCTTTGGCTTGTTGTACCAACCGTACCTCAAACATTGGTAGTGAATTGGAGGAAGTCATAAACAGTAGGAGGACCTAGAAAAATTTCCAAGATGACCCAGAACATGCTCACAGTAATCTGTCGGAACTGAATGAGTTATCGATTCATATTAGATGGCCTGAACATCTTTTCCCGAACATACAGGGTGAAATGATAAAACTGCTACAGGTGGCTATCGTTAGAGCACTCCAGCATTTAAATGTGAAAAAATCTTTGGTGTCTCGTACCATCGCTCGTTACCGTGATGCTGGTAGCGTAGCCCGACGTCAAGGAAGTGGACGGAAGAAAACAGCAACATCAGCAGAAATGGTTCGAAAAGTAAAGAAGCGATTTGATCGAAACCCGCGTCGCAGTGGCCAAAAAATGGCAAAACATATCGCAACATTCCATTCGGCACATATTGAAAAATGAGCTCGTGGTAAAACCATTGAAATTTCAAAAAGTGCAGGAACTTACACCGCAACATAAAGAAAATAGACTCAAAAGAGCTAAAAAGTTGCTTCCGTTGGCCACCAGAACTCAAACGCCGGCCATGGTGGTGGTGTGGGCCGCCGTAGCAAGCGATGGTCGCTCTCCGCTCGTATTAATCGATCGTGGCATCAGAATAAATGCCGAATATTATCGCGAAAATATTCTGGAGGCCTTGTGCACGCAAACATTTTGACCGCAGACCTTGGACCTTCCAACTGAACTCAGCACCATCGCACTCAGCACGCGCCACCTAAGAATGATAAAATTTTCGATCCAAAAACTGAAAATGTTTAGAATTTTGGGTCAAACTGCCAACACTTTTCTGAATTTCAAATCAAATGTTGTATTATTCTACTATTTTCGAATGAATTCATTGATTTTTTCCCGTCTTTCGGATAAAACTATACAACAAATTCGGATTTTTTTTTCTGAAATTTGGATCAAACATCTGAAATTTTTTAGAATTAAGAATGAAACATCCGACACTTTTTCCAACTTCCTGCCAAACCTCCTATAATTCTCCGATTTTCGAATGAATTCATACATTTTCCCCGACTTTCGGATAAAACTATAGAACAAATTCAGATTTTTTTTTCCGAATTTTGGATCAAACCACTTAAAATTGTTTCTAATGTTCCTTTTTCTCTTTTTCGAATTTTAAACGAATTCGTCACGAAAGTCTAATGTTCCTTCCGATTTTTTTCCAAAAAAAACTTTAAAAATATTGGGCAATCTCACACATTTTTTCCAAGTTCGTTCCGAATTCCACTTCAGAATCGGAAATTTGTGCCAAAAAATTATGTATTTTCACGAGCAAATAAAATCGAATGCAAAATAAAAAAACGACTTGCGAAATATATGCGACTGTGGTGTGTACCCATGGTAGAAAAATACAGGTAGATGCATTAAGGCTTGGGAGCATTGATATGTCAAAAAAAAAATGTTTTTTCAAATATAAGTAGATTTTTATATGTTTCCTTATACGACGTCATTGGGATGTTATTATAATACGCGTTTTTAACAATTTTTTAAATTGCAAAATTGGTTTGACAGTTCATTGTCCCAGCGGCTGTGTCGATGCATCTACCTATATTCTTCTACCATGGGTACACTCATGGTAGAAGAATATAGGTAGACGCATCGACACAGCTGCTGGGTCAATGAACTGTCAAACCAATTTTGGAATTAAAAATGTTGAATGAAAAATTATTTAAATTTGTAAAAAAATTTTGAAAACGCGAATTATAATAACCTCCATATGACGTCATATAAGAAAAAATATAAAAATCTTCTTATATTTGAAAAAATATTTAAAATTTTTTGACATATCAATGCTCCCAAGCGTTGATGCATCTACCTGTATTCTTCTGCCATGAGTGTACCCCAGTGCCAATGAAAAAACTCAGCGATGCTTTCAGTTTGTTTCATGGTATCAAGGTAGGGCTATGATACCATATGATTTCAATTTTTTTTTTTATTTTCTTGGCTTAATATGTCATCTTTATTTGTTTATGTATGAGTTTTCTTTCCAATAACAAAAAAATTGTTCAGAAAACATTCAAATTCGGATGTTTTCAAAATGTTTATTTCATCGTATGCATCGACAAAATCTAGAGTTTTTGTAGCGAAATAATCCTTTAAAGATATATAGAACCATGGTACAATGAATTCAAGGTAGGGCAGAACTACCATATGATTTAAATTTTTTTTATTTTTCTGGCTTAATATGTCAACTTCATTTGCTTATGTATGTGTCTTCTTTTCAATAATAAAAAATTCTTCAGAAAAAATTCAAATTCGGGTGTTTTCAAAATGCTTATTGCAACGAATGCATCGACAAAATCTACAGTTTTTGTCGCGAAATAAACCATAAGAGATATATAGAACATGATATTGAAAAGAAATTTTGACCATTCATTCAGTTTTCGCGGTTTTAAATTATTTATTCAAAATCAATGCAACAAGTTGTTTGATTTTTTATTGTTTTGATACTAATTCTGACATTACAAGCCAAACAGGTAGGCCTCTATACTTGCAATTTTTTCAAAGTTGACCTACCTTCTCTTCATTGTACCATGGATGCATCAACGTTTGGGAGCATTGATATGTCAAAAAAATAAATAAATAAATGTTTTTTCAAATATAAGTAGCTTTTTATATGTTTTCTTATACGACGTCATTCGGACGTTATTATAATACGCGATTTTTACAATTTTTACAAATTTAAATAACTTTTCATTCAACATTTTCATTCCAAAATTGGTTTGACAGTTCACTGACCCAGCAGCATGGTAGAAGAATATAGGTAGATGCATCGTCACAGCCGCTGGGACAATGAACTGTCAAACCAATTTTGCAATTAAAAATGTTGAATAAAAAATTAATTAAATTTGTAAAAATTTTTTGAAAACGCGAATTATAATAACCTCCAAATGACGTCATGTAAGAAAACATATAAAAATCTACTTATATTTGAAAAAATATTTAAAATTTGTTGACATATCAATGCTCCCAAGCGTTGATACAACTACCTGTATTCTTCTGCCATGAGTGGGGTACACTCATGTGCCAATGAAAAAACTCAGCGATGCTTTCAGTTTGTTTCATGGTAGAAGAATACAGGTAGTCGCATCGACATAGCTGTTGGGACAATGAACTGTCAAACCGATTTCAAAATTGAAATTTTTGAATGAAAAATTATTGAAATTTGTAAAAATTGTTGAAAAATACATATCACAATAACCTCCGATTGGCATTGTATAAGAAAACATATAAAAACCCACCTATATTTGGAAAAAATTAAATTTTGACATATCACTGCTTCCAAGCGTTGATGCATCCACCTGTATTCTTCGTCGTGAGAAGACATATTTTTGTAAGTTAAATCTGGTCGAATAAACCCGAATTAAGCAATAAATCCTGAAAACGTCTGTTAATCCGGATAACGTTTTGTATCTAAACACGTTATAAATCACTTTATGGACAGAAATTGAAATTAGTTAACCTTTATTTAGGTTGAATAAATATAAGTTGCTCAATTATGGTAGAATTACTTACTAGGTAGTCCAGAGAAATTGTTGTAGTTATTTTATATTGTTTATAGTTATTCTATAGAAATACTTTAAAAAATATGCTCTGTTCCAGAACATGCATGCATGTAAATATGTTACTAGGATAATCGATTTTTCCTTAGTTCAATTTCGGCTTAGTATTTTCACTTCGTCACCCTGTAGTTCTTTGTTCTCTTACGAATAAGCCAGCCGTCTGGTGTATTCGTGAAAGAAATCGAACTAAGTCAATCTATCGTTTTTATTCTTTTATAAATAAGGCTGGAAATACATAAAGAGCATATTTCGTTGGCTTAAGTCACCGGCTGGCTTCTTCGTAGATGAACAAAGGAGTTTTAGGTTGACTTAGTTCGATTTTGGGCCTAGGCTCCTTTGTTCATTTCCGAAGAAGCCAGCCGATGACTTAAGCCAGTCAAATATGCTCTTTATGTATTTCCAGCCTAAGCCAGCCGATGACTTATTCCATTTTCAATTCTTTCTTTTATAATATATTAAATACTACTTGCTTCAGAGTCCAGCAAAATACATGGCAGAAGAATACAGGTAGATGCATCAACGCTTGGGAGCATTGATATGTCAAAAAAAAATTAAATGTTTTTTCAAATATAAGTAGATTTTTATATGTTTTCTTATACGACGTCATTTAGAGGTTATTTTAATTCATGTTTTTCAACAATATTTATAAATTTAAATAATTTTTCATTCAACATTTTCAATTCCAAAATTGATTTGACAGTTCATTGTCCCAGCAGCTGTGTCGATGCGTCTACCTTTGTTCTTCTACCATGAGCAAAATACATGGTAGAAGAATATAGGTAGACGCATCGACGCAGCTGCTGGGACAATGAACTGTCAAACCAATTTTGGATTTGAAAATGTTGAATGAAAAGTTATTTTAATTTGTAAAAATTGTTGAAAAAGCCATATTATAATAACATCCGAATGACGTCGTATTAGAAAACATATAAAAATCTACTTATATTTGAAAATAAATAAAATAATGTTTGACATATCAATGCTCCCAAGCGTTGATGCATCTACCTGTATTTTTCTACCATGGCAAAATATAAGAATAAATAAATCATACAAGTATGATGACGAATTGATTCGTGACAGATACAGATGGAAACATGCTATAAAAATAAGGCACTTCAAAATGAAGAACATCCCCTAAAAAGCCGATAACGGAAAATCGATTACTTAACAACAAATCGATTTTCACTTTTAGGCGAGTGACGACTTACATATCCCTAATCAGCTGTTACCCGGCACAAGAGAATAAAAACAAAATCTCAAAAACACACAATCAGTTTTGGACGTAAGCCAGAAATAAAAAAACACGAAAAAGATATAAAAAAATAATAAGTGGACGCGAGTGAATGCAAAGACAAACGTAAACATTTTGTTGTTATTTCGTTTTAATTAGTTTTTTTTTGTTGTAGTAAACAAACAGAGACAACGTTATTAAAACGGCCCTATAATGTGTGATAACAAAGATGAGTGTTGCAGTAAGTTTCGGGAAAGAAAGAAAATACGAAAATTCAATTCAATGTGACAAGCAATGATGTGGTGGGGCAAATGTTCTGAACGACACTTTGCAAATTAAAAGACAAATACAGATTGTGGATCGAATTGAATGGAGTCAGGTCGCCTGAAAGAAGTTTTATCTCGATGATTATGTTCGGTGGCGGCCAATTACAAAGCCCTGCTGCAATCAAATGTTTAAAGAAACATGGAATAGATAATAGCAGAGCAGTCATAAGAACTGAATTTATTCTAAATCGTTTACTTAAGATAAGAGCAAAATAACGTAGAAGGAACTGTTACGTTTTTTTGGTGCCCCACGTCTACCATCTATGGGTGTATTCCATTATTTGCCCAGCCATGATTACCATGAAAGGAATGGCAGCAGCAACAGCAAAAACAAAAAATCCCAAACAATATGGTTCTATTGTTTTCCGTTCCTAATTTTAACACAAAAAATATCAACACAACTGAAATCGGAAGAAAATTGTGACTCAATTTGGAAAGTTGTTGTTGCTGCCGCTGCTGTTGATTTGCAGCCAACATATTGCTTGCAGACAGCTTGCTGGGTTTGTTGTTGTCTGGTGCTGTGTGCTAATGTTCAACACCTACCTACCTACAAGTCGTTCGTTCGTTCGTTCATTCGTCTGTTAGAGCTCTTGTTGTTTTGTGTTCTTGTTATGGTTTGGGAGTTCCATTTGCCGTTGTATTAACCCACTGTGTGTGCCTGGATAAGTAAAAGATTTGTACACTTATAATAACACAGAGACAATATTCTATTTATAGAATTATATTTGTTTTTCTAGTTACATACACACGCACCCACCATATACCGGGAAAATCCATCCTCTTGACTTAATAAGAAAAACAAGCAAGCCAAAGGAATCGTATCATGATTTTAAAAAATTCCTTTCAACATGCCCTTGGGGAGGAATTTAGTATAATTCACCTTAAGGGGTTTTTTGTTTTGATTGAAAAACTTTTCAAAACATTTTGCATAATACATTAATTTTTCAAATTGAAATTTATCTTAATTGCTCACAAATTGTTTTATAGGACAGGACACGAAAAGGACGAAAGCAGTTTCAAACTTAAGACTAGTTTACGCATCATGTTATTATTAATGTAAAGTGACTTGTCCACATTTTATATTTGAAAAAAAAAAAATTAAAGCATACTTTAAAGCGCTCCCAGCAACTTAAAAGACGTGCTATACTATAACACTATACACCATGGCAGAAGAATACAGTTAGATGCATCAATGATTGGAAACATTGATATGTCAAAAAATTGTAAATGGCTTTTCAAATATAAGTAGATTTTTATATATTTTCTTATACGACGTCATTCGGAGGTTATTATAATACGAGTTTTCAACAATTTTTAGAAATTTAAATAATTTTTCATTCAGCATTTTCAATTACAAAATTTGGGTTGACAGTTCATTGTCCCAGCAGCTGTGTCGATGCGTCTACCTATATTCTTCTACCATGACTATACATTATGTACCTAATATACAATACAATAGAATATATTTACCATACTATATATGGTTGCCTGTTTAGTTTGAAAACGTACAAAGTGCCGACTATATTCATATATAGCAGATCTGACAAATATAGATCTTTATTTGGGGACTTTGTAAAAAAAAAAAACGTACCATCTTACATTCAGTAATGATTCCAGCTTTAAAGCGGCTTACATTTGTAATCGTATGGAACTGATCTATGGGAGCTATGTGTCTATTCCACAGTATGTGATTCTGCAGTATGTGATCTTTTGTACTAAACATCAATCTTATAGTATAACTATAACTAGATAATTTTATGTCTTATTTTTTCCTATCATAACTAATCAATGGTCTCCGAGTGAAGCAATTTCAATGTAATAGTGCATGTTATGACTTTCAGAAGAAAGGATCTTTAAAATCGGTTAAAACATATATATGAATCGATTTAGTCGAAACCTGGCAATTTTTTTCTAGCAGGTTGGTGTGATGGAGATTTTTTAAGAGCTATAGGAAAGTTAAAACAACGTATAGAATTCATAAAATTGTTGACCTTTTTATTTTAGTGAGGTTTGACAATGAAACTTTCTTAGAGTACCAAATATCTTCATACGATTATGAACCAGCCTTTAAACTGGGGCAGAAACATGGAGGATCACATGAAAAAAGTTCTTATTGTACTAATATATGCAGGAACGCCATAGGAAAGATCTGGAGTCTTCGAGCACAAATTTTACATTGGATGTACGACACAGAGGTGTTATCTGTTCTGACCTATGGATGCCTTATCTGGCGACGATTGTGATTGAGTCCAGGACGCTCATGTCTAAATTAACAACTGTGTAAAGCGCCTTGTCCTTACTGACAACTTGAGCCTTCAAGAACACTCCTCGTTGAACGCGATATATATATATATATATATATATATATATATATATATATATATATATATATATATATATATATATATATATATATATATATATATATATTCGTTATTTTGATGATTTTAGCGACATAATTGACCGGAATTGTTTCATATTTGGTATTTAAAGTTCGTAATGGATACTACGGCCTAAGCCAGAAAATTGTGTGTGCAGGTCCACGTCTTGATACATCCCCCCCATAACGATACCTTCCAATATTCGGTATATTGATGATTTTAACGACAATATTCACCGGAATTGTTTCAAATTTGGTATATGAATTTCGTAATTGATATTACAGCCTATAACAGAAAATTGTCTGTGCAGGTCCTCTTTTTGGTGTAGCCTCCATATAACTGTACCTCCCAAAATTCTGTATTTTGACGGTTTTAGGCACAATATTCACCGAAATTTTTTAAAATTTCGTATTTGAAGTTCCTAATGGGTACTACAGACTGTGGCAGAAAATTGTATATGCAAGTACAGGTCCGGAACAGCCCCGATATAACGGTACCTCCCTATATTTTGCAATTTGATGATTTACACTACATTATCCACCACCTTTTTTCAAGTTTCTAATTTAAATATTGTAATGGCTTATGACAAAAGTTGCATGTGTAGGTCCACGTCTTCGTAAAGACCACAATATAACGGCTATATTCGGTATATTTTTAAGATTTTACAGAATTTTTAACGGATTTTATTTTTTTTTAAATCTCCAAATTCGTTCCAAACGGTGGAGGGTATTCAAATTTCGGCCCGGCTGAACTTACCGTTTTTTTACTTGTTTTAGATTATAATCAGTCATAGGATGCATATTGCTGAGGAAGTCATTCTATATTCGAATATTCTGCAAAGGTACTCATTTGTTGCCAAACAAACGCTACATCAATTATGACAGTTTTTTAAGTAGGAGATACAATATTTAAAGTCTGGCATGGGTTAAATGAATGTAATATTTGTAAATATACCTAATACAGTTGAATACGTTTTAATTCACCTAAGCAGACAAAAAATGAATACTAATAAGCGTATACTCGATACAATGACAGTAATTAACTATTTTCTTTGGATTAGAACAAAGCGAATCGACTAATAGGTTGACACATATTTTCTTACAAACTACTACTAAATAATTTTAGCAGTGGTAACAAGTAGAATAATTTACATGTCTTTAAAGCTTGATAGAAAATTGTTGCCAATTGAAAAGTTTGTGACAGTGTTTTTAGTATATCGCCTATTTTTGTCTTTGTTCGAGGGAGTGTGAAGATGGAATATATATTGGTCCAGCAGACATTGCCCGACATTGTTTACAAGCGTACAAAAGCAATTTGGTGAGAATTTTCTAGAAAAAAAAATTATTCGTTATGGAATTCAAGCGTGATAGTGTGATTTCTTTATATTTGGCTGGACAACCACAAGTGGCTATCGTTAGAGCACTCCAGGATTTAAATGTGAATAAATCTTTTGTGTCTCGTACCATCGCTCGTTACCGTGATACTGGCAGCGTAGCCCGATGTAAAGGAAGTGGACGGAAGGGAACAGCAACATCAGCAGAAATGGTTCGAAAAGTAAATAAGCGACTTAAAGCGAAAGACGATGGAAACCAGAAAACCAGACGATGGTCGCTCTCTGCTCGTATTAATCGACCATAGCATCAGAATAAACGCCGAATATTATCGCGAATATATTGTGAAGGGTGTATTAAAGCCTTACAACAGGACTTACCACCATCGCACTCAGTACGTGCCACCCAAGAATGGTTACAAAATGAGGTTCCTCGCTTCATTTCCAGCACACAATGGCCAACAAAATCTCCGGATACCAATCTGTTGGACTATTGAGTCTGAAGTATTTTGGAAAGCAAGGTTGGCACTAAAAAATACCAAAGTGTCGATCACCTCAAGCAAGCGCTTCGCCTGGAATGGGCCAAAATACCGCAGAGCAACATTCGGGCAGCGTGTGACGGTTTTATCGGTCCACGATATCGTATAGCCTCCATGTAACGGTACCCCCGATATTCGGTATTTTGACGATTTTAGCCACATTTTTCAATGGAATTGTCTGAAATTCTACACAAGGAGTTCTTCGTGACTACTTTTCCCCCAGAAAAATAATTGTCTATATAGGTCCCCGTAAAATCGATATTTTGATGATTTTAGTGACATTTTTCAATGGAATTGTCTGAAATTCGTCACAAGGAGTTCCTTTTGAGTACTTAACCCCCTGAAAGAGAATTGTCGATATAGGTCGACGTTTTAGTATTACACAGCTAGCGTGAGATATTCGATATTTTCAGGATTAAAAATATATATATCAAATTTCGTATTTGAAGTTCGTAATGGATACTAAAACATATGACGTAAAATTGTCTATGCAGGTCCACGACTTAGTATAGCCCCTATACAATGTTACCTCCCTTTATTCGGTATTTTGATGATATTACCGATATTATTAACCGGAATTGCTTCAAATTCATTAAATTTAAAATTTTGAATCGCTACTACAACATCTCACAAAAAATTATTTATCCAGCACCACGTCTTCATTT